CGTGTCCTCGGGTGCCAGCCCCTTTCCGCGCGCGAGCCCCGTACCTCTGCGCTTCACTTCTGCAGCTTCTCTGGGTCTCAGTGTGCCTTTCCTTCCTTCTAGTTGTAGAATTTACAGTCAGCCAGTCTTCCTGTGGTTCTGGATGACGTCCGTATTGTTTTTCTGAGGTATTAATCAATTGTTGTGAGCGGCATTAATTTCCCGGTGTTTATCTCTGCCGCCATCTTAGTTTCTCCCTTAATTCGTGTTCTTATTGAAACCTTCAGCTTAGAAAGCAGAGTTATAGTTAGTGAAATGTATTTGCTCTTAGGATGTTTGAAGTTTTAACTTTATTGTATATTTACATCTGTTTACAGAAAAATTATTGCACTCAGCATAATTGCACCTTATTTTCTTGGTGCATTTTTGTGAGGCTCTATTTTCTAGTGCTGCACTGGTCCTATATGGTAGCCACTAGGCACATGTGGCTATTGAACACTTGAAGTGTGGCTGTTCCCAATTTAGAGGTGTTGTAAGTGTCAAATACATACTGAAGACATAGTATGTATCTTAGTTAGTAGGGCTGCCATACAAAATACCACAAACAAGATGCCTTAAATAATAGAAATTTGTTTCTACTACTTACAGTTCTAGAGGCTAGAAGTCCATGGTAAAGGTATCCACAGATTTGACTTCTTCTGAAACTTCTCCTCGACTTGCACATGATTCCCTTCTAGTTATATCTTTACATGATTGTCCCTCTTTCTATGTCCAGGCATATTGGATTAGGGTCCACCCATTTGACTGTATTTTATTTTAATTATCTCTTTAAAAGCCCTATCTCCCAACACAGTCACATTGTGAGGTACTGGGTATTAGGACTCTAACATATGAATTTTGGGGAGACACAATCCAGCTTATAACAGTTAAGAAAAAATAAGTGAAAATATCTTAATTTTATACTGATTACTTATTTAACACTAGAGGCCTGGTGCACAAAAATTTGTGCACTGGGGGGCAGGGAGGGGGGTCCCTCAGCCCAGCCTGTGCCCTCTCGCAGTCTGGGACCCCCTCGGGGGATGTTCACCTG